CGGGGGTTGAGGGCCCCCCGCCCCCGGTGCCCTGCCCCCCCCCCCCCCAGCCCCCCGTCTCCCCGGTCCGGGTCCCCCTGTGCCGGGCCGACCCCCGCGCCTCGGCCGGGAGGGACACGACGCTGATGACAGTCCCCCCTCGGCCCGAGGCAGCCCGGGGGGGAGGGGCGAGTCCAGCACGGCCGAGGGAGAGAGAGGGAGAGAGAACGAGAGAGCGAGAGCAGGAACGAAGGTCGGGCTGTCGGGAGAAGGCCCACACTCTCGCCATGCCAACTGATACGCGCGTCTACCGCGACACGCCACCGGGGGGGGGGGGGGACGGGGCTTGCCCTGGGGCTCCTCCTCTCGCCCGGCGTGCAATCCCCGAGGAGACGACGGAAGATGGACCACGCGCGTACGCGCCAGATGCCGCCCCAGGACATGCGCCAGAGAGAGGGACAGAGAAACAGACAGGGAAAGGGGGAAAGAAGAGGCCGCAGGGACGGGCCTCCCGCGGGCAGAGAGAGACCCGCCGGCAGGGCCCGCGCCACGGCCGGGGTCGTTTAGGACACACAGCTCTGGCAGCTTCCCCTAGCCCGGTGAAGGCAGGTGTGCCGGCCTGCCCGGTTGCGCGCGCATCCGCCCCCACACGCACCCTTCCCCCCGCCCACCCGGATACGACCCCCAAGATGGGGGGGGGGGGGGGGGGAGTGGCACAAACACCAGAAGAAACGAGCACGCATGATGAGGCTGGCTGTCCACCGGCGCCGAGACATGCGTATGCGCCCCGCACCGCACGTCCACGGACACGCGCACACACACACACACACGCGCGAGGAGACACCCTAGGGAGCCAGGGCGGCCGACGCACGAGGGAGGCGCGCTGGCCAGGGTTCGGGGTGTGTGTGTGTGTGTGCGCGCGCGCGGGATTCAGACAGGGGCTCACCGGACTTTCAGGTGCGCCGCGCACACGCGCGGGGCACCGACCGACCCGCCGGGCGCTTGCCGGCAAACGCCGGAGCGTCCTCCACATGCGCCGGCGGCGCACGCGCACACGCACGCACGCACGGCACCGCGAGCAATCTGCCCCGGAGGCGCCTTGGCCAGGGAGAGCGCGGGCAGGTGCCGCAGCCAGGCGCGAGGCCCGCCCCCGCGGCCCGAGCCGAAGAGACCGCCGGCATATGCCTCACCTGGCCGGTTGCCCGGCCCCGGCCTGCCGGCGGCATGGGAGCAGCATGCGCCAGATGGGCGGGGCTGGCGCGCGCTCGCACACCCCCGCTCGAGCGCCAGCCGGGGGGCGCTTTTCCTCCCGCATATGGGGGGGCCCATATTGCCGGCTTGCGCCGCGCCTCCCCGATCCGTCCCCGCGAACATGCGACCACCCCGCGCCAGGAGGCGGGGGAACGGCCGGCCAGCCGGCCGCCGTGCCGCCGTGTCGCCGTGCCGCGGGACGCATGACGCACCAGGCAGAACGGCCGCCCGGGCAACGGCCGCCTCCTTTGCCGGGTCAGCCGCGCCCATCCAAGAGGGGGCCAGGGGGCGAACCCCCGGGGCCAGGTATATCAGCCGGCGCAGGGCACACTACCTACGAGCCCCCCCCCCCCCCCCCCCCGCCGGCGGCAAGGCCAGCTGGCGCACGCGAGTGTGAGTACAGACACACCGACCGCGAAAGGGGCGCCGGCATCCGGCAAGCGGCGCGCAGGCCGTCGGCCCTCCCCACCCACACCCCGCCTGGCCGGTCTCCCCGCGCGCGCGCGCGCGCGCCGCGGGCAGCAACAGGCGGCGCGGCCCGGGCCGGGGAGCAAAAGCAACAAGATCACAACACATGTCCAAGGCATCCGCGCGACCCTGGCCCCTAAACCCAGCCCTAGGAGGGTCGACCGGCGCCGCCCTCGGGCGCGCGCGCGCGCTCCGACGCGGCGGGGTGGGGCATCCCTCGCCGGCTGGCGGCACAAGTGCCGGACTCGCCAGATGCGCCTCGCCCCGCGGGCCGCACGACGCCCGCCTCGCTCCTCCGACAGTTAATGTGAAAAGCCCCGACCCGCGCCCGGGCCTCTTGGACCCCAGCTCCCCCGCAAGCAGCGGTCGGCAGTCCCGGCAGATGACCCTCGGATGTGAATTTAATATTTGCTATTTATTGGCAAATGATAAACCCTCCTCCGCCGGGAGGACAGCCTGCTCCATGGCCACCAGCCGCGCCCCGGGGCCGGCCCGGCTTGCCGGAGGAAAGATTCTTCTCGCTCGGCCACAAACCCCTTTCTTCCTCGGGGGCCCTGTGCCCGCGCCCGGGGCCGCCCCCTTTTGGCCAGGCTGGCTGCCGCCTGGGCGTGGTGGTCGGGGCCCGGCCGGCCCCATCGCGCCGCCGCTGCTGCCGACGCCGGGCCAGCAGCACACGCGGCTCGAACCCCCCGACATTTTCACACCCGCGCTGAGATGATCAATCCGATGTCCGCGTCTTTCTTCTCGTGTTCCTCGGCCCCTCCCCCGCGCCGTGTTGCGCCGCGCCGCGCCGCGCCGCGGCCCGCCCCCGGCCCCCAGCCCGGCCGTCCAGACCCCGACCCGCGCAAATTTGAATGCCCTCGGGAAAATCCGCCCGGCACGACGAGTGGCATCGGTGGGCAGCTGCGTATCACACCATGGCCCTTTGGAGCCCGGGCGAAAGTGGCATCCGGCGCGCCCAGGGCACATGCTCGCGCGTGACACGCCCCGGCGGCCTGATCAGCTCGATCGTCTCCCCGGCCCCGGCGCGATCGTCTCGTTTTTTTTTCCCTCCCCGCCCCGACGACCCGTCTCGCCGCTCCCCGGCCCCCCCCCCGGCACAGTTGCGCCTCTCCTCCCCACTGTAGTTCTCCCTCCCATTTTTTTTTATACACGCCGCCTGCGGCTGCGCCTGTCACCAGGGCGCTGCACCTCTCCTTGCACGCGTTGTTGTTGTTGTTGTTGTTTTTCCCTCGCCCCCCCCCCTGCGGGCGGCGCCGGCGGCGTTGATCTCCCAACGGATGCGATTGTGGGCGATGTGCCCGCCCCCAGTGCCGGGGTGCTGCAGCATCGGAACGTCCGGCCCTGCGGGCGCCCGCGGCTCGGTGGCGCGATGCGTGTCCACCGCGCGCCGGCCAAGGGCGGGCCAGCCAGGGGAGGGGGGGGGGGGGTGATTACTTCACCGGGTGCTGGCGGAGAGATTGCGCACCGCGCGCGGGCACGCATGCCCCCGCGCCCGGGCCCGGCCCCCGAAGGTTCGGTCAAGATCCGGCAGTGTCTTTGGCTCTTTCGGCGGCCATCTTGGTTGGCCTGGCACCTGCCGCGAGCCACGCCTCGTTGCTTCGCCGTCCCCCGCCCGCGTTGCTCCTCCATTTTCTTTTTCTTTCCTGCGCTCCTCCCCCCTCCCCCCTGTCCCGCAACCCCCCCCCCCCTCCCCCCGCCTACCCTTCTCGCCTCCCAGCATCGACATGTCGCCGGCCACGCAGCCGCCGCAGGCGTCGGAGCCCGACGCCCCCGAGGTGTGCCCCCACCTCTCGCGGGCGGTCAAGCCCAACCCCGCCAAGAGGCAAATCCCCCACATCAAGGTCTTCGCCTGCCAGGAGCCGGACTGCTCCGCGTCGGCGAGCGACCAGGGAGGCGACATCTGGGTGTGCTGCGGGTGCGCGGCCCTCCTCTGCGCCGAGCACCAGGCCCAGCATGTCCAGCCCCCGGGGCATGTCATCTTCCTGCGGACCGAGGCTCGGGCGTTGGTGGTGCGTGTGCTTGATGCGGCAAATGCGGGTCCCGGCCGCTGGGGCCCGCATCTGCCCGAGGCCTCCCCGTGCCGCGCGGGTGGCTTCTCCCTCTTCCCCTCGTCCCCGCCACGCGCATCGCCCTCCCTCCGCCGCCCCGCTGACCTCCTTGTGCCCGTGCGCCCCCCCCCCCCCC